TACCCCTAACCCTGCAGGAGACGGGGCCTACGGTTTATTCATCTTTATCCGAGAAGACTAGAATATCTATCTATTTCTTGATATTATAGAAAGGTAGCAAATTTTCCTCGGTTATTTTAAGACCATGAGTCAGTTGGTCCGGCTGGGGCACGAACCCTCGACCTCCCGCACAACACAATCCGGCACTCTAACCAATTGAGCTAACCTGTTGTTTTGCAAGATATGAAATGCAGTGATAGCCAATTACAGTATCTTTGTCAGTCATCAGTTTTAGCCAGTATAATTTGGTCAGTAAGAAGACGATTATAATAATCATTATTTTCTTACCTTAGCGGCAGTATCAGACGAAAGTTGTTATCGTGATCTGACACCAAATTCTCGTAACTAGTTGTACAAAGAAATGTATTACGGCTAGAGGGGAGAATTAACGATCAGATCTTGGGAGTTAAAGAATTAAAATTTCGAACTGAGCAGAGGTCATCATTAGAAACACAGCGGAGTGTGTCAGTCAACTTTCAAAGGTGAAATGATAGGACTGTGAAAACTGATTTGTTAGTTTACCGTAATGCCATCTGACGTAAAATTCAGGAAGGTGTTCGTCAGTTTTGATTAGTCAGTTCTAATTTGTCGCCAATGCGAGGCTGATCTCTTCATTTTGTTAGTTATGTGTACGTTGTGTATAATTCGTCTGTAAGTCGCCGGTGATTACTTGAGAGGCATCTGTTCCAAGTTTGTTAACCAGCTTTCAAAAAAAAGATTTATACGTGCTGTAAGTAAATCACCCAGCAGAGTATCGTTAAATCATATTTTGTAGAAGATGATGTTCAACAACGTGACCGCTGAAAACGCCAATTTTGGTCACTCGTTTGGTTTCGATCAGTCACGTGCTGAGGCTCGTCCCAGTCTCTCCACGAACTCGAGGCTGGGCAGTCGGAGCACTTAGTCTTGTAACCTGAACCTGCTAGTAAATGGTCAGTCTTGGGGCTACTCAGATAATTGTTGAGGTAGGTCAGTACGTATTAACTTGAGTGATCAATCCTGTGTCAGAGTTCTGTACTCTCTTCAAATTCAATTTTTTAATATCAGACTTACTCTCTCGTGGACGGAAAGCTAGAGACTGAAATCGAGGCTATGAGATCACCAATCTATGATTTTGATGCTCTCATGTAAAAGTACGTCACTGTTAGCGTGCCTCAAAAAGTCTGTGTGGATCAAGTTATTACTCAGATAACTGATCAAAGTTCACTCGGCAAGAATTTCAAGAAATAGGATCATTTAGCCCCAAAATACGATTGATCCGTGATGGTGGCAATCTTCATAGCACATCCCAAGAAGAAACGAATCGAGGAATCGAGGACGAACATCACTCTATAACTAATAATGGTGTAAAATCCGAGAATTCCTCAGTTCCAGGAAGAGCGGACGCTGCGAATAGAGCTATTGAAACGAGCACAACTGCCGCAATTTAAGAACAACATGGGGTTCCCAAGGTGGGTCAATCATTTTCGTGGTTAGCTTCATCGCCATTTGTGGTGAACACCACAACAAAAGATCTGAAGGCAAAAGGGAAAAGGCAAATGGGTACACGAAATACCAGTTCCAATCTGAAATACAGTCATGCAAAATATCTGAATTCCTGGCAGCAGCCTATTGAGCTACCATCCACCAGTACGAAACGAAAACAGCAAAACAACGCTTCTCCTTGTTCTGCCCTTTAGGCGAGCGACAGTAATCTGGCCAAATATCCGAGAAAATCCGTCAGTTGTTATGAGAAGACAGGAAACAGTAGCGCAAAACAGCTGGCAAACAAAGAAGAAGCTTCTTCGTCCCGAAGTGATAGTTTACCAGTTGGGTTTGGTGTCATTGAAAAGCAAATTTCTCGTCAGAATGATTCTTCAAGTCCGTGGCCAGCAGTTCGCACCACAAAGGAGAAAAATGAAAAGAACAATTGTAAGTTTCCGTAAAACAGTTCGTACAGTGTAAAGCGCTAATGTTTATGAAAGCGTTGGAAACGAGTTTTTATGTCCGTCTACAATTTTTAAAAGTTCAAAATAACACGGAGGAAGTAAAAAAAAAAAAATATCAGCCATTTCTTTTCAATACATTTTGGTATAAATTGTTTGAATGTAATGTGGTGCACTTGTTTTGTAAAGCAAGGCCTTTTTGATCAATTCGGGATCATGACTGATTTCAGTTTGCGGTGAAAAACAGAGGTGTAAACACGGACGGTATCTTGTTTATTTTGACGCTAATGGCTAAATTTTTTGTCGTTTTACGGCTAACAGTTAACCCCATGGAAACCCTCTTTCAAGAAATCTTCAAGATAACAACTTTCAATATGTTGGTGAGTTAAGATGGGAGAAAACAAAACGTCGAGAGAACCTTTAATTTGCGCCCATCTCAATACGTTGATGACGTATCAAAAAACGTGCACGTTATCACAAAGAGGTGATAACCGAGTGACGTAACAGAAGTTCACTCTGAGCTGTTAACAGTCTATACAGAATGGGCTCGTTCAACTCGAAGGTAGCATCGAAAAAGAACCAAAGGGCAATTCGTGCGTGGAGGGAAAATGCTAAAAACGTAAGGGAGACGAAAGAGCATGGCAGATCAGTGGGAAATGAAGAAAAATGTCCCAAAAGTGACGATGACGGCTGTGTGCCAAGCCGAAATTCGAAAACTCCAGAGAGAATGTCCCCAACCGATAAATTGCGTCGTCAGTCTCGAAACGTTAAACGTACATCAAACGTACCAGAGTAGAGATGGCTTGTCTCAAACCGGCTAAACCTTCTAGGAGAGATTCTCTTCGCAACGGCACCAAAGATGAAGGTAAGGCCATCCTTTTCAAGCCATTGTTCACTGCGTATCCTTTGGTGCCTGGAATGGGGGAAAACAACACAGAACTATATTGCACTGTTCCCCTTGGTCGCGTTTTGCTCAGTGATCGAAGAAAAAGGTACGACAGGAAGGTGTGTCTGGAGCAAACACCTTGATGTGTATAACAGCGACCAGTCGGCGGCCAGTTGGATTTGGTGTGGACAAATCCTATACCTACTCTTACAACTTGTCCAAACATTCAACCAACCAACGTAAGTGATCGAACTGAAGACGATTGTTTTCGCTGCAGCCAATCCGAGGTTTAACCGCATAAACAAAAGTTTATCCAAAAGCAAAATACCAGGTTCTCGAATTGAATTAAAAAAAAAATGACATCTTAAAATGTTAAATGTTCACTGATTGCGCGGCTGTTTCGTTTGTGTTATATATTCTTCTGCAAATCAAAGTGTATTATAAAAACCCCAAAATTCTGACCAATGAATAAATAAATAAATAAATAGACAAAACACTCGAAAGCGAAAGCGATCCCTCACTTCGTTCTATCCGGAAAAAATTGGTTCTTCTGTTAGTGATCCTTGGCTGAAGTTTTTAAACACAATTGGATGGAAATTTCCATATATATCACCCAAAGATTGCATTTTCGATCCGCTGTGATTTATGCACATTAATCCTATGCTACATGGCCAACGGTCAGCCCCCATATTGAGTCTATTCGCCTGATGATATCGATGTTCCAATCATTTCTATCGGTCTCACTTCATAATTCTTGATTGTGAAGGAACACTCATTCTAGTCATCGCCTAGGGCGAAATACCAATATCAAAAATCTATCAGTGATATATATTTTACAGTCTAATACTAGCCGCCTTATAAAAGCTCCTTTTTACGGACTTGAACAACTAACGTAAATTATAATCATCTACAATAAAATTAATTGAACTTTATTCATTAAAAATTATCATTACTCTCGTCTTCCACACTAGCTTCGTCATCAGACTCGAGTTCGTCACTTGACAGCTCGTCCGTATTAAGTCTTTCCAGACGATAATAATGAACCAAAAAGCCTTTAGGTTGTCGGCCTCCTTCCTCCGAAAGGTGGTCGAACCATCATTGTTATTAGTGGTGCAAATCAAGTTCTAATGTCGCCCAATCATAAGATAAAGGGAATAAAAATTGAGTTGGACCAGTAAGCGCGATTGGTTTCTAAAAGGCGTAAGTTAAAATCATCGGTATCTCACCAACTAAAAGTTCTTTTCAGGGTTTGATAAAATTTTCCAAATGATGAACCAACTGTGCAGGCAAACGCCACCTTTTCAAAATTTCATAATTCACGATTTGGAGATGAAATCGTGTTGAAATCACTGAATTTTGTAAAAAAAAATTTAAACGCGAGTACAGTCTTAAAACAACAAAACTCCTGTTTCGTTCGCCAAAAATGCAACGTCATACTGCACAACAAAGTTCGGGTTTAGAGATGTCGTGGCATAAAATGACAATGTTATTTGTTTTGTTTTGTTTTTCAACAGAAGTTTCCCTTTACTAGTCCATTGTTTTCAAACTCTGTATCAACATCTTTATAGGAATTTTAGTAATCGTTCATTCCTTAATAAATACCCACACACACACACAAAAAAAAAAAAATTGAGAAAAACACTGAGAAATTCAGCGACATCTATGTTAACTGTACAAATAACAATAACAAAAGTCCATATCAGTTATCCAACTTTATTTTCCTGACATATTATTGCACTTTAGGATATGAATTTCTCTACACAGAGAAGTGGTTTGTCATCATTATTACATTAATATTTACCACCAACAGCAATACTGTACATCATATTGGATAAGAATCTCTTTTAAAATATCCCGTTTCTCAGGAATTCATAGTAATTCCCTATCAAGACAGTTTTACTGCTTAGTCGATATTTAAATAACTTCTCTTTATTAAGGATAGAAACATAACCTTTATTATTATCATTTATTTGTGCATCTTTCAATTTTCTAGCTGTGTTCTGAGAAACAAACGCATAATTTTCCATGTTTTATATATGACGCACCACTTGCAGGTGAGCGAAAAAAAGAAAAATATAGTACCTCTGTTGAATCAAAGAACAAAAATTAGGAGCAAAACTTACATAAAAAGGCAAGACGTAAAAAAGCAGATTTCTATACTCAAAAAAGAAAAAAAAAAATCTGTACATAGATTTACTGTCCCAAGAAAAACGATATTTTGAACCGGGGCTTGACAGGAGATTTGTTTCATTGCAAATAAAATAAACTAGACTACAAAATAATATCACTACGTATGCTTATCAATTCATCAGTCAAACGTAACCAGAGCTCTAAAAGAAAATCACCTTTTAATCCATTATCGGATCAAGTGAATTGATTCATTTAAATGTAGTCATTACTCAAGAGTCTCCGAAAGCGTCATTTATTTTGGTTAGATGTCTTATGGCCAAATCTTCAGGGATATGAAAATTATACTCATTGAGACGGTCCAAGTGTTCTAAAGCCTCATTCATTCCTAGAAAATTGCAAACAATTAAGTCAGATGACATAATAACAAAAAAAAATGTGCAAAATAAAGGATCAGCATTCATCTGATTAGACATTTGGTAACTTTGCATCGTTCTGGAGTGATACTTTCCTTTTCTTCTGGGTTTATTAGCCATGCCTTGTAGTGGACAAAAAAGGGGCGGAAGATTTTTCCTTGAAGTTGTATCCTATACGTATTCACCTTTCTTTCCCAAAAATGTCAAGTTTTTTTTAAACAAATTTGGTGCTAATAGGGCAGCTACGCCTCCGTTGTGGATGAGGTAAACTCAATAGTTTTCGAAAACCTTGGTAGTTTATGTATAGAGAAGTGACCACACAGCTTAAAGTTCCATTAAAAAGCCCATCATTCAAACGTGACAACAATATTAACTTGTTATAAACAAGTCCTACCTGTTTTTAGAACATATGACCATGACTGGTAGTGTTCTTCCAAGAGTGAGGAACTCTTCACGATAAGACGACACCAGTGGGTCAGTCTTTTTTGACTAAAAAAATATTTAAAGAATAAAGTCAACTAGATGAACAAAGAAAGGTTGAGAGGGGGAGTGGAGACAAAACTTATGTAACTCGCACCCTACAGCTCACCGTCTGTGCCGGGCAACATACACTAAGTGAAAGAAAGTTCACCTAAATTTCCCACATTAGTCTTCCATCCTTATTTGCTGGTATATTATAGATAATTTAAGTGTTGTTTCTCTATTTTAGTAAGGAATCATAGACGAGTTTTTTTACAGTGTAAAAAAGAAAAAAAAAAAAATACGATAGGTTAAGGAATCATCATGATATTCAGCAAAAATATCATCAGATCCAATATAGTAAACACTTCAACTGGAAGCAGCACAGAACTCTTGGGATCACATTCCTAATCAAAAGGTAACATCCACTTTGCAACAGTTCTTTTTGATTTAGTTATAAACAACATCAGTGAAGCGATCACTGACCACAGCCTTAGAGTCTCTTAAAACAGCTTCGCTACGATAAAAAAAACACTTAACTTGATAAAAAACCTCCAGGCGATACTTACTTGATTCCGGCGCATACCAAAGATTTGAACTGGGAAAGAAATAACAGAAAACGATTATAAGAAAAATCGTTACGCGTAAAGTGAAAGGAAAGAATTGAAAACGAAAAGAACACAATTTCCCCAAATTCAGAACAATTTAACATTATACCGAGAAAGTAACATCAACTGTTACAGTAGAGTGATTTTTCCTCAAAATGTTGTTTACATTTCATTTAGTGTTTTGCAGAAATATGTACATGTATATCTATTTACAAAACTGAGTGTCACAGCTAACAGCTTACCATTGCATCCATGCTCCGCCTGCAGGGCTCGTGAGTTGTTTTAATTCTATGCAGTGTTCTTAAAAGGGTCTAAAAAATAAAATACAACATGAAAAGTCATACGAGTAAAGGTGTATGTAAATCCTATTTTTTTACTGAGAACATTTGATGGCCTATAAGACAGGAAACCGACCCCGCACTGTGGATGTAGCAGCATCATATGGCTCAAACTACTTTCCAAGCGAACTTGAATATTGGATGCCATCCAAAACTTATCATCGACTTGGCTTATGAACCAGTTTAAAAGTCACAATAAATATCCGGGGGAGGGAAGGAGTGGGGAAGAGAACGGTCGGCTTAAAAAAGAAAAAACAAACAAACAAACAAACAAAAAAGGCAAGAAGGATAGTTTGAAAACACTCACCTGTTTGGCTGTGACGATGTTTGTACCTTGAACTTCAATACCAAACGCCTCAGAGAGCCGTCTAGCGGGCGTAGAATTATACTCTCTTCCGTGCTAAAAAATGAGAAAAAATGGTGGATTTCAACATTATTGACCATAGAGTGTGACATAACGAGTCATGAACAAGTACGGTACAGAATACGACTACCGATAGACTATTGTGGAACATAAACTAAGCCTGGGGTATTTTGAGTGAATGGTTGCTTAAATACTCCATTGAAAAGCTAAGAAGTGGCCGACGGCACCCAGACATCTGTTTCGGGTTGAAGTATACCTCGAGGGTAATTGATCCGGGCTACCAAGTTGTGTTTCGGGCTAGTAAATTGTAGAAATCACTAGCCCGGTGGCTAGTAATGCAGGTAGCCAGGTGTCGAACCTTGCTTGGGGTAAGTAGAACGGAGAGTTCATAGCGTAAAGGTTGAGAAAGTCAAAGAGCACGTTTCTATTGTACTGTACATGTAAAGAGAAGCCGACGAACTCGTAAAGTTTTGGCGGGCCGAAGACCAGCAAGTGGAATCGGGTGGCTGTAATGAAAACACGGACACCAACCTTCATTCCGTAATATTCGTTGAAAAGTTCCCATATATGCATTCTCTTGGGAAGAGAAGACCTCGTTGTTGGTACGATACATGCCACGAGTGATTTGGAAGATATGAGACGATTGTCAACGGACTGAAAACATAAATGTCAACTTTAACAGACAAGTCGGATCATTGTTGTCCAATACATTGTAAGCTAGTTTCAACTATAAATGTAGCGGGGGAATTCTTTGGGGGTATGACGACTAAAATAGTGAGAATGTATGACAACAGACTGAACAGCTGATCCCGGTTCAGAATTCGCAAATTTTCACTTGCAATTTGCATAAGATATTAAAATGCAGAGAGGATCTAAAGCTGAGTCAGTAGCAGCTCACCCTCACTAGTCCATGTTGAAACAAAGCCTTCAACGCCATTGCCAGATCTTTTCTCACGACATTCACCAGTTCAGCGTCTCTTGCGTAATCAAACTAAAATATAAATCAACAAAATGAGAGGAAGGTTAATAGATTACTCGAATCTGTTAATAACTTTAGCGTGGACCTTAAAGGGCAACGGGTTTGAATGAACTCAAAACAATGTCAAAACAGAATTTAGAGTAATGTTCAACTGAGTATCGATCCAAGTAATTTGGGATTTCAACAGTTTCATTTGAACTTCACTCCCTAATCGGCTTACAAAAAAACCACGCTTCCTATTTGACCAATCACATGCTATAGGAAAAACCAATGGCGACTTGGTTACTCGCGTTTTCCCGCGTTTCAACCGGTTCAACCGGTTTACATCAAGTTTTTATTTGCTTGTTGTGTTATCATCCTCTATTATAATAGGTCGCTGTCATTAATTTATTTTTATTTACTTATTATCTTACCCTGTCACTACTTTCTGACATTGTGGTATCAGAAGACATGGAACTAGTGCGAATTCGAGACCGTCTTTGCACAGCCGTTGGAGACTGAGGAGAATTAGGGCCAGACTCTTCGCCATCACTGGGAGGCTCGCGTGATTTGATGTCGATAATTTTCAGAACAGCTTGCTGAAGCTGTGCAAGATTTTCGCTGTAAATAAAAAAAAGGGACCGGTTTAATAACCATAACCTAAGCTGATCAATTTCGGCTATAATTATGCTTCCACAGATCATCATTAAGGAAAGCAAGGCTTTTAATCAAGTTTGCTAAATGATGAAATACTTTCCGGGCTGACATAGTCTACAACTTCTTTCTACCACTTTTCCCACTCAGGACACTAAACTTAGCTGTTTGCAGAGGTAAGCTGGACGCCTCTGACATATACAATAGCACTTAATCTCACTCATCAACGAGTTCTCTGCAGATCAGTGGTAGAGCATCCCACGAAAAACAAACATCAGAAGTTCGAGTCTACGCGCCCCGGGAACTCGCAATTTGTTTGTTGTACAATCAAAAATTATGTGTCATATCAGTTTTCTTTATTCGCTTTTTTCAAACAACTCTTCTTCAACTTTTTAAAAGTATCTTAGCTACCTTCTGGTTACCGCAGATCTGATTTACTCACAAGTATCCTGGTGCGGCTACTGAAGTTGCTTTTCTTATGATCTGGTCTTGAATCTGTTTCCCAGTGCACCCAAACTGACTACAAAACACAAGGAATAAAAAGAAATCAGCCAGAGAAACATAACAAGTCACTACTTCAAAGTCCTCAGTGATACCAAATGTCGATACATACTTTCTGGGTCCTGCCATCTTAAGAGTCTCGACAATCCTTTACAAAATCTTACTATGGCCAAGATTCTTTTGTCATTCAAAAACTCGAAGAGCGGCTGGAAACCCCCATGAGAGAATCTAACGTTCAAACGTCTCTGCATTTTTTGGGACAATGTAATTCTTACTGATTGTTTGTGTGCGAGCACAATTTTCCCCTTTCAAGAGGTATATCTTGGTACTCGACAATAGCCACGATGAAATTGAACAATCACAATTTTACGAACCATACTTGTCACACTCGACAAATAAACAACTCCTCACTTACCACTACTCAAATCCAAGAGACATAACAGAAAAGTGCTCATAACTGTTGGCAACCTCACTTCTTCATGCAGGAAGAAGTAAAAGAAGGTCATTCATTGAACTTTGCCTCACCTTATCGCAAACAACTGCAAAATTGCTAAAGCTCTTTTGATTATAGCCAGGCTTGCATCTCGGATTCTCTGCTTGATGGGAAAAAGGAAAGTTTACCAGAGATATTACTGATCAACTGATCAACGTTTGAAAACTCAATACTTGCGAGCAGTACATGAAAGTAACTATAACCTGAACTGGTAGAGCCCAGAAATTCAAAGCTACACACGGAAGAGACAGAATTAAAAGCCACAGCTACACACTGAAGAGACAGAATTAAAAGCCACAGCTACACACTGAAGAGACAGAATTAAAAGCCACAGCTACACACTGAAGAGACAGAATTAAAAGCCACAGCTACACACTGAAGAGACAGAATTAAAAGCCACAGCTACACACTGAAGAGACAGAATTAAAAGCCACAGCTACACACTGAAGAGACAGAATTAAAAGCCACAGCTACACACTGAAGAGACAGAATTAAAAGCCACAGCTACACACTGAAGAGACAGAATTAAAAGCCACAGCTACACACTGAAGAGACAGAATTAAAAGNCTCTCAGAGGAATACTTAGAATACTCAAGTTGTTTAATCAACTTAAACTCTTTTTAGAGAATGTGCTGTAGTGTACTGTTCTTGACTAATCATGGTAAACGAGAGGGAAATAAAATAGGTGCATAATTGTCAACGTTTTTAAGGTCACCATGCGATTTCAGCTACTCTTTAATTTGTCCTGGTCGTTATTATCAAAATGTTGAATATTTGAGATATCGTAACTTGTGAGCTTGGATACCAAACTTTATAATTTGGTTAGTAAAAAAGATGTCTACTAACCCGAAGGGTTAGTGATCCAAAAATTAAATTCGAGCGCTGATTGTCACTTGGAAAGTTTTTCCGCAGAAGATCTCGCCGGCTCAACCACAACCGTTTAACATTAATTTTTAGCTCTCCGTTTGTCGATTTTGGTCAACCGTTTCTCGATTTTAATTATCCGTTATTGGACTTTGGTCAACCGTTTAACGTTTCGGGCTAACCGTTTTTAATTTTGGTCAACCGTCTAACAGTGTGAGCTATCCGTTTTTGAACTTTGGTCGACCGTTTAACGTTTCGTGCTATCCGTTTTTATTTTTTGTCAACCGTTTGAAGGCCTAAGCTATCCGTTTTTGGACTTTGGTCAACCGTTTAAATTTTTTGCCATCCGTTTAAAACCGTTTTTCTAGACCGTTTAACGGAAAAGCGTTTGTGTCCGTTTTCCCGTTGTGTAGTATCGCTGAGTATTTATACAAGTTGTACCGTATTTTTACGAGCGCGGATAATAAAGCTACACACTACACAAGTTATACAGTATCTCACCTTACTATGAACCTGCTCTGGTGTCTCAGGAATGGGAGGCACATGGAGACAACACCCATTACCATCTTCACTGCCAGACATGTCTTCTTGTAAACTGTAGTCACACTGATAATCCAGCCTGTTTAAACTCTCTGAGGAATATTCCATGGATCGGTGCGCTCCTTTACCCTTTCAAACAACCAGACAAACAAACAATTTTAAAAAAACATTTATCGCAAATTAACCCTGAAACTCCCAAGATCTGATTGCTAATTATCGCCTCTAGCTGCTACACATTTCCTTGTAAATTAGTTACAAGAATTTGGTGCTAGATCGAGGTAACAACTTCTTCCTGATTATTTAAGTATTTGAGTATATAAGGATTTGTACAAAGTACTGGAGCAAAAACAATAGGACATAGGTGCCCTACGGGGTTTAAGCTCCAACAAACCCACCCATCCCACCCCAGGGGAGGACATCCATCACACAGTTATCTCATGCGTGGGAAATTTACGTCTCCTACCTCTAACCCTGCAGGAGACGGGACCTCCATTTATTCGTCATTTATTCGAGAAGACTAGAATATCTAACCATTTCTTGATGTAACAGAAAGGTAGCATATTCTTCTCAATTATTTTAAGACCTTGAGTGTTGGTCCGGCCGGGGCTCGAACCCTCGACCTCCCGCACAACAGTCCAGCGCTCTATCCATTGAGCTAACCAGGAGGCGGTTAGTTACGAATTTTCTCATTACCTGTTTGCTGGATAACGTCTGGATATCATTGGGAGAAGTTTCTTGTTAATCACTTCTGGGAGTTCAAGGGTTAAGAGGTCTTACTTGCATGCTAGTGTTGGTGAAGGACAAATTGTAAGTGGTTTGTCTATTAATTTTATGGAGTTCTTCGGGGTTCATCTCTAACCTTTGAGTTCCCTCTCCTACACATACATGTATCTTCATAAATTTTCAAATAAGAAAAAGATTATTCACCATTTTACAAATAATAAGCCTGTTTTTAACTTTTCTTTCTCAAATAATTCCAATGAAGGTATTTTTATTGCTTACCCTCGGTCGATCTTTTTGCTTTCTGCCTCTTTTGGCATGTACAGGACATGGACATTGTTTAGCCCGTTCAGTGCGTTCCTCCGCATTCTCAACTTCACCTGTGCGACAATTAATCAATTTCGAAGTAAGAGACGTGTGTGCTACAATCAGTACTCTGCTGGTTAGTATGCTGCTGCTGGACTCTGTATCTGAATCGTGGGCTCATGTTTAAGCCATACTCTGGTAACTTGTTACAACAGTGCAAACACCAACCTTGCAAAAAAGTGACAAATCTTTCCAGATCAGCAATTTGAGTAGTGAGCTGTTTAACGAGTTCTTCCTGGGTGAAAAGAGTAAATCGGTGAATCAAAATAAGGAAACAAAAAATAATACATGTACATAACACCCAGACTTTTTTCTAAGCTATACACAAGCAGCGTCGACCCCTACCTTTGTCTTGACAGGATTCATCAACTGATCATGAAAACCAAAATGACACATAATTAGTTCCACTAATTAAACTTGTGCAGTGAAGAATACCTTTTACATATTAGTAAGACAATGATTTGCACAAGGTTCCATAAGAATTGCATTTTAAATTTTTTACCTCTCCTATAGCACTGTCAACATTTTTTCGCACATCATCATTGCTGAAACACAGAGAGAAATTATGGATGGTTTTAATGCACATACAGCTTGGATAGTTGGCTATAGATGTATTTGACTAGCATTTGTCACAGATTTACAATGCGCTTAAAACTGAATGAAAAGGTATCAAGAACAAATAAAAATATTAAAAAACAATGTAATTAAAATCAAATTTGATGTCTAAATCAAAATGGGCAGAGCTTTCTTTATATGTATCTGGGTCAAACCAAAATTAATTTTCACTTGGTTTGGTAAAGTTCAGCATCAGAAACAGGCCTTACTCAAAAATGTTGGGAATTACCACATGTAAATGTGAAACATAAAAGTCAATGTTGGTTAAAAGAAACAAACACAGGGCTCAACACTAACAGTAGCCCACTAGCCACAGACTAGTAGAAATTCAGTTTTTGTTAGTGGCTTTTGATTTCCACTAACCAGTTTGACTAGTAAACAAACTGAAATTGTTGCAACATCTAAGATGTCACCAGCCACTTGGCTAGTGTTGAGCCCTGAAACATGACACAGGTGGTATGTATACAGCATGAGTGGCTGTTTATTTCTATATATCTAAGATATAGCAATTGATGTGACAAATAATACTGATTTCTTTGTTTCTTTTTTTCCTTTCTTCATGGATGACTGAGACTTTCACTCACCTTAACTTTTCTATTCCATCTAAGTTGAGACCCATTTTTGTTCTAAAGAAAAAATAATTTGTTGTATTAAAAACATGATCATCAGTTACTTCAAATTCAAAGCTTTTTTTGAAATTCACATGAAAAATTTAATTTACCATGTAGAAGAAGATTATATCTGCTAATAATTATTATAGTTTATTGTTTAGACTGTAATGTTGTTGACATGGTAACTAAAGAGACAAGTTAAATTCATCTCAGGTGCAAAATTCAAAAATTTTCCATAAAGATTTAGTCCACTTTTACTTTTTCATTCTCACATTTTAAACATCTCAATAAACTTTTGTTTTTAATGGTTTGCAGCTAAGGTTTAGAGGTTAGATCAAAATTTTTAGGTTTTAAAATTGAATATCGAATAGTTTAGTCATTACTTAATTTATTGATATTAACTTCCAAGTGTGATCATTTGGATGAGAACGTCCTTACACACTGCAGATTGGCAACGATGCCCATTTTAGTTTAACAACTGCTTTTATCTTACAAGGTGCCTCTCTCTTCCATGTGATTTCAAATGACAGAGATCAGTTAAAAAGTTGTCAGGTTTATCAGCTTTGTTTTGATTTATTATAATTTATACCGTATATCTGCCGCTGCAAGTCTCATCCCCAATAACACCAGTTCACAGGCCACTGTCCTTTGGGAACTGCTTGTTAAGAATTTAAAAGTTATGTAACCTTTTCATTTTGTTACAAAAAAAAAAAAAACAAAAGCAGAAACAAAAAAGAAAACTATGAAGCCCAGACCAAGAACTCCATTTGTTTGTTACTCAAAACAATTCCCCTAAAGAGGCTTGTTATGGCAAAAATGAGGGGAAAATAAATTTCAAATCCCTTTCTCACAAGTATGTAATTATCAGAGACTAAAATTAATGTTACAATGTTAACACTGCTTGCAGTAATTCACTTGAAGTTGGTTATAAATTTACTGCATGCAGATACTAATAAATAAATTTCAATTTTTAACTACTATTTTTTTTCTTTCTTACAGAAGTCTAAAATTTTAAACAAGAAACAGTTTAAACTAAAGTTAGATAAAAAGTTTAAACAAAAAAATGTGCATTTATTGTTTATAAATTCAATTAACATCAATGTTCTCATGAAGATCTCCAGAACCTTAACCTCTCTTTTATGACTGTATTATGACAATCATACATTGCCTTAGTTTATAATCAAAACAATTAGCTAAATAATATAATTGCCTTCTATAGAAAAAACATTTTACTATGAGTTTAATTCATGCTAAAATACCTCTCAATTTACATTTATTCCTCTAGTTAACTTTTATGATAAATTATATGTACCTTTTATGTATATTATCGTACACAAATATAATTTATCATTATATTAATTATATGGTGCATGTAGCTGGAAAAAAAATTTGTATTATAATAATTAACACAGGCTGAGTTACAGACCCAAGGTTTTGTTGATCAAGTTGGACTTACTTCAGTTCCTCAATCACAATCTTTTGCTTCTCAACAAGCTTTTCGGGACTTAATTCTTCATTCACATTTGCAGAAGCTCCCTAGTTAGGAAACACATTTGGACTATCAACAATTGATTTTACCACTACAAACTCTGTTCGCTCTACAGGTGACCAATAAGTTATTTCAAAAGAATTGACACACAGAAGAGTGATTAAATGAAAGAGATGTCAACAAACATCTTACAACCTGACTATCCTCAGGGTTCACACCAATTTTTCAAATTTTGAATATCTTCAGTTTGAATTATTCTCCATGTTATCACCATGAGTGTGAACCTTTTCCCTCCCCTGATCTCATTCATAATTCTCCTTACTGTCTGTTATACAATTCTTATGGTGTTAGTTTAAAGAATTTGGTATTGGATCAACCAATAATCCCCTAATTGATATTTTTCTTTATTCTCATCATGTCTCCTTGATATTGTATTGATATGGTAAGGAGAAATTCTGTCTTGGTCACTCATGGAAGTTAAAGGGTTAACCTTACCATGGCCACATAGTTTTCCATTTCTTCTAACTGATCTTTTAGCTGTCCTATAAGACTAGCTTGTTTCCTTTTCTCCAAACTAAGCTTTTGTTCATATTCCTGTAAGTTCTAAATATTTGAGAAAAAGGATAAGTTACATAAAGTAAATTATGGCAGAACATCAAACTGGACTGAAAATCCTTTAACTATGGAATCTCTAAATTTGCAAAAAGGTAATACCAGATGTCTCAGATAAGTAAGGCTGTCATTACCCTTTGTTGAATTTTGGAAAGGACACTTTGGGTGCCACAGAAAGTACATGTACTGTAAACTATAATTGTTTGGGCATGTTATTATAACGATTACATCCACAGGTCAAGGTAGTTTTTTATTAAATGTTGGGAGAAATGTTGCATTTTTGTATAATCAAACCATTGTGATGTAACTTATTATTATGTAAAAACATTTAGTCACATGCAAGGTTCAAGGTTTGAGGTGAGAATTTGCCAGAAATGAGCCAATTTTTGGCAGATGACCACAGCTGTTTGCAACTCTCCATAAGTAATTTTGAGAACTTTTGGAGCCTGACATAACTAATTTGAAGGGAAAAAACACCCACTCAAGGGCTCTAAAATGAAAGAGATTTCCAAACATTACATCACTACAGTACTGTTACAATAGTGGTCTGATTTGTGTAAACTGATTGGTTAGACTTGTACATTTACCAAACCCATACTTACAGTGAAACGAACTCAACCGGGGCCACCCAACGTTTTTTAGCCAATTACAAGGCAAGTACAGAACAAAAGAATGGGAGTTCGTTCACCAGCGGTCAAATTAAACTGCTCTTTTGACTGGAGTCGATGTGAAGACATGCGAAAGCTTCTAGTTTTTTTACGGTGAAATAAATATGTTGTTTATTTCGTTTCCGGTAAAAGCGAATAAATATTTACCTAATAGCGGCTGGTAATTTTGAAG